GTTTAGGTTTGAGTTTTTTTCAAACCGGTCAAAACAGTTTGGTTTAGGTTTGAGCTTTTCTCAAACCGGTCAAAACGATTTGGTTTGAAAAATTTTCAAAAACCGCAAAAACCGAACCGCTTACACCCCTATACCCATCAAATGAATCAATGTGAAGGGCATCCCTTGAAGAAATAAAAGTACACTAATCTAATATATCTTGCACAAGAATCGAGATTGTTCAACATATAATTGGAAATTATTTCCAAAAATAGAATAGATGGAATGAGGGTTGACCTGGTTAATGTAAAAAACTAAGAGACGGGATGCCCGAGCAAAGTTTTGCACGAATATCTTTGTCGATATACGGTGATTAAGCTATGAATAGAGAATGTGGGTGTATCTAGTGAGTTAGGATCTCTACACTACTCTCAGCACCTTAATTCATAAGTAAACAAAAAGAACGGATCCTAACTATTCTCAGATACCTTCAGGTCTACAATTCACATTCCACCTTCTGTTGGGAAGTGTTGAAGGTAAAATATGTTATCTAGTTACAATACGTCGTCCTAAAACAAGGTTAGCCTTATTGAGTATATGTGTTGCTCTTTATATTCGTCATGCTTCAGCTGGAGAACAACTTCATGTGTATATGATTGTTCGACTGGCAAACAACACGAATTGCCTAATAGCTGGATTCCTCCTCGCAGGGAATATTTAGATCAGGAAGCGCAGATTTAGATTCAGAAGCAGCTGGTGTATTCTGACAGCCATTTGATGGAGAGCGTTGCAGCGAATCATCATTGCCTGATACAATCGAGTGCATGATCGGAGGGTTAGGATGAAAAACTGCCATCTCTTGCCGAAATTGACTAGATGTTGTTTCCTCGGGTACGAATGTTCCTCTATCAGGTACAAGTTGCAATTCAATCTGTTAAGAAGAACATTACATTCCAACATTAGTGCAAAACAGGGACAGGAGAAAAGGCTTAACATATGTACGGAAAAAGCCGAATGTTTATGTATGAGACAACTGCAGCAGAGAGATTAGAAAAGCAAGGTAAATACCCGCCTACAACCAAAATTTATCCTGCCCTAAAATAAAAAGAAATAAATCCTCTTGAAAGCCCAGCTATATGTTTAACAGTAATAACTCAGAATCCTTCATGGACAACATTTTACCTTTGGCAGCTTGGAAAATTCATCAAATTATCCGACAAATTAATGTACCAATGAGTGAAGTAATCAAATATATAAAAGGACAAAGGAAGAATTGAACAAGGTGATTTCACCTTCATTCTCTTCAAGCTTTCATTAGTAGCCCTTTGTTTCTCCAAATTCACGCGTAAGGCTGCTACTTCCTGTCCAGAAAGGGATGTTATAACACCAATATTCAGGTATGAAAATTAGCCTAAAGGCATTAGAATAAATTAGGATACCATTTTCAACTCTCTTCTTTCCTTGCGCAGCAAGTTCTCTTCATCTTTAAGTTCAGCCAAGGTCTGCAAAATCAAAGCGAACGAGCTGAATCACTAAGGCTCGTGAAGAACGCAGCTGCTAAAACGTCCATATTACTAATTGTCTGGAATCATCCTTTCGTAACGTTATATTTATCTTATATATTAAACATTATCCAACTATCACACTTGTACACCTCTCTTTCTAGTGAAAATAAATAGCCAGCTTGAATAAAATTGAGTTTCCAAAGGTTGAGAGTAAAAATTCAAATGTTTGATAGGGAATTCCAAGTCTGCTAATGATTGTCAATCAATCGTGCTGGTAATTATAACAATAAGGCAAGAAATATGTTGAAACTTCAAATGGTTAAGCATGTCAGATATTGGATTGACAAAAATAGTCACTTGTTGAATGACAAAGATAAGCTTAATAAGATCCAATGATCATCACCTTCTTCTTTCTTGACCTCTTCTTATTGCTTTGTTCACTAGTACCATTAATCTGCAAGAGAAAATAAAAATAAAAACAAAAAATAAGCATGCAATAAATGCTGATTCAGTTTCTTCGTGCTTATGAATCATCGGGGACAATCAGCAACTATAAGTAATGAGTTTAATCAACATAGACACACCAGAGCCCACAAAATATTATGAGATGGCAAAAATACTATGATCAATGACATTTCTCATACATCAAAGCCATAACTTTTTTGTAACGACCCAGCCTCTATGCTCAAACCTAGAGTTGGGTGTGGATTGGGTTGGGTTGGATTGGTTTTGAGTCCAACCCAACATGTTTGGTTTGACAATAATTCAAACCGAAACCAATACATTCACGATCGAAACCCAACTTGACCAAACTTGGGCTCGGGTGATTGGTTTGAACTGAGTCCAATTCAAGTTGGATCCAATCATTCTATTGTTGGACACTTTTTTATGGGTCCAATGGTTAGCACATTTTTCGTTGAATTTGAACAATTCTTTAAGTTGGATAATTAAATAACAATTCTTTATATTATAACTTCAGAGAACACTACCTTGTAATTGGGAATCTCCTCCTTCAATCCAAGCGTTTAGTCAAAAATCACGTCAAAAAATTAAGTCGAGAGGCCGAGATGCGAGCAACAATGAGAGGTAAAAGAGACGGGAGGTAGAGAAAAAATTTGATTATTAGGTTTTAAGTACTAATTTTTTTAATATTTTTAATTTACTGGGTTAGGCTGGGTTTTAATGGATAACCCGTAACTCGACCTAAAATTTGATTTCCTAACCTGAATCCAACCTAATTGATTGGGTTGGGTTAATCGGTTTGACTAGTTTGGATTATTTTTGTCTAACCCTATCCAAACTGTTATATCATACGTACGGTCCGTTTTGGGTAGACATCTATCTACTTACTCCCTCACGGCTTTCCATCGAGTCCCCCGAATTCGAACCCAACACCTCTGTCTAACAAGAAATTTAAGTTGAATCCTCATATGAATCAAGTTACCCAATTGTTATCAAGATTCAACTTAAGTTATTCTTAAGGAAAATGTAAAGAGTACAAATTTTGGATACGTGGATAAGATGGGCTTAAGCTCTTCCAAAATGGACAGTGGTAAGTTAACAGCTTGAGCACAAAAATTGGGTTGTTACATTTTTCATCTCACAGATAAGCGGCATTAGCAGATATCAATCATTAGTGAACAATGAAGTCATCGCAGGTAACTGGATTCTAACAAACAAACTATGTGAATCTGTAGATAATAACTAGTAACTGCGAATAGTACTATAAAACTTTCACCATATTCTAGGCAACAAGATATTTCACTATAGATGACTAGGTTTAGAGTAATTGATGAGCAACTAAGTCCTCTGCTTCTTTCGGTGCATGAGAATCCTGATAAACAGGTTAAAGTTCACAACCCATTCACAATCTGCTCAAGGTGACCAGGAGCTATTGAACTAGACCAAGAACACGGAGAAATTGAAAGGTAACAGGAAACTTTGCAAGGATTACAAGGAGAACTCCAAAGGGCATGTTAGGCTAAGCTTAAAAATAAGAAAAGATTCCATCCATGGATAAGATACATTTTATTTTACTTTAAAGTAGAAAAAGAATTACTTATTACTTGTCAGCTTAAGACAAATAGTATTGCGACAAAAATGGTCCCTCCACTCTAAATACAAAGTTAATACAGGCCATACAGTTCCTCGCAGATTTTGCACCAAAGCACAATTTCTACACATGCCATTTCAAACCTTCGCCTACATTCCAAAATTTTGACCAAAGATCAACTTTCTTGTAAACAACATAAAGGAATCTTAACATAGAAAGGAGAAAGAACAAAATTACACTCCATTACACCCTATCATGAATAGAGATTGCACCCCTTTAAATCCCTTTTACACAAAAACTCAAAAAGTTAATTCCCCATATTTTGACTTTGTCAGAAGATATATGGAACAAAGCTCACTGTTTTTTGTCACATTGGGAGGCGCCTCGGAGTGTTCGCTTGTGTTTACAGATGGCAATAGACAGTTGGTGCATAAAGACAAGCAGATAATTGAGGCACAGGTTGCTGCATGTCACACTAGATTGCTCCCCAAAAAAGTGCACAACCACTAACAACACTCCACCAAACCTATTTGCCACCAAAACACGCCACCCCTTAAACCGGGCAACTACACCCCGCACGTCCTAAATTGACTAAAATGCCCTTATACTCCGAAATCATATAGCTTAAATTGATGCTTGGTTCTACATGGGGTATGATTTGGCACGACATCGACAAAAAACCCGTTGTGGGATCTTAGGATGTTCTAAAATAAAGCTGCTTGAAACTAATTCCTTGATAAAGAAAATGGAATTTGACTTATTGTGTGACACGTGCGAGAGAAGATTGCCGCAGTTGTTCTTTGGAAATTTTGGTTTGTAGTTGCTGTGCTGACACCAATGTGGACTTTTGCAATGTTAATTTCTTGGTTACGTCAGGAGGTAAATTTACAACTCTACCCTTTGAGACAGGATAATTTGGTCAATTGGTGAGAAATTTTTTTGAGTCATTCAATGTTTCGGGCGTCTGACTATACGCGTTGAAAAAAGTCACCTATCTTCCTCCTCGAAATAAAAAGAAAAATAGATTTAAAAATGGAAAGTTCTCGGAGGGTATTTTGGTCAACAAATGCCAAACATGAGAAAACCTACGGCGAAGCGAGGCGGCGGCCGGAATCGGATAAGGTTAAATGCCTTAATTGTCCTTGAAATTTTGTGAACAGAGGCATCAGAGTCCCATGCAAAGAGGGTATTATTGTAAATTTAGAAACAGAAATAGTGGTTACAGGTAAAGGCCTGAATTGGCTGAATCTGACTTCCCCTGGAAGCGTGGCAGAAAATATGCAGATTTTATAGGGTATAATCGTCTGTTACAATGATACACAGCTGCTGACTCACCACCGTCGGCTACCAGAAAAGCACCCCCAACCGCCACTTAAATAAATAATAAATGACGAATACAATTTTTTTACGTTTACAAACCTTAGATCTTGAGGAGTTAGAGAGTTTAGGAAGAGCAGGGGATCTGCTGGACTCTTCAGGGCAACCGTCGATAGCGCCACCGCTGAGACAGGTGGCACCGCTCCATGACAGTGGTGTCGTAGGACTGGCTCTCGGAGCCGGATTCTTAACATTATCAACCGCCACTGGTTTTGACCGGCGCTGACGCACGCTCCACTTCAGCGGCGAAGGAGGCGGAAACGGCGGCGGAGGCGTGGATTGGCACTTGTTAAGCCGCACTAATAGCTCCACTACCATCGTGTCATCAGCCATCGCTTTCTTTATCCACTCTTCGTCACCTTCCATGGCTCTTGCGATGTCGTTGCCTGGTCAGGGTAGCCGGGTAGGGTATGGTGGGGTGGGGTATGGAGGAATGAAGGAGAAGTTATGAATTCGTATGTTAAAAATAATGATATGGTGTGTCATGAATTTTATACATATGCGTGCTTCTTCTCTGGGGGAGATGCTTATTCACACCACCTACTGTGCGTGTCTGTGCGTTTTGATGACTTTGTTCTAAACTAATGGTTGGACTCATCACTTTTTCTTTTCTTTTTTTTACATTTTTTTTCTCTAGTGGGACCCTTCAGCGTGTGGACCCCATTTAAGAAATGTGGCATGCTTAAGTTTTTACTCGTGTGGCATTTGATATTTTAGATTTTAAAAAATATGAAATAATATCACGTATTTATGTTTTTTTATTTTGCCAAATTAAATCAGAGGATCTAATTACATTAATTACTATTAAATCAAAATTAAAATTTGGATCACAGTATTTAAATGGTGGTACGAGATAATTACTATTTTGTTTCCACTAGAAAACTTGGAAAATACTATTTGTACATAAGAGGTTGACATGTGTGCGGGGTCCGCATGTCTTTAAAAAAAATGTGGACCCCCATTGTTAGTGTATGTCAACATGTGTATCAACAAATGGTTGTACAAATGAGTTAGGCTACACTTACCGCCTTTGTCAACATGTGGGCCCCACATTTTCGTAGGGCCCATTCCATGTGAGTGGACTGTACACAAAACTGTGTACAAAGGCTGTACAAATAGCATCCCTCGGAAAACTTAATGTTGATCCAGTAGTAAGTTAACATCTTCAAAAAAAAAAATGTCATGTTTTTTCTACTTGTATTTATCATATCTATAGAATACTCGTACTTAACTTGGTATATAGAACAATACATTTTTTTTATAAGACTCAATCAATATTATCTAATTCAAGGTCCTAAATATCATACATTTATGATTGTGTTTGGGTGAGCGAGTGGTTTAATGGGTTGGGATCGGATGAGGGTGGTTTATGTGGTTCATACTTTGAATTTGGATCATACATCAATTGACAATCAATCTTTTTATTCAATTGGAGCATGTTTGGCTTAAAAAAGTTAAATTATTTTTAAGTGTTTTTATTTTTTTGAAAAATTATTTACAAGGTTTACTGTTAAAATAAATCACTTATTGCTTTATTATGAAATTTATTTATAGCTTTCACATAAATGGTTATTTATGTTATAAGTAAAAGTTTTAAGCTTAACCAAACATGGCTTAATTTTATTTTATTTTTTTGCTGGGAGAGCTATCATTGTTGTAATGGGACCGCTGTCACCTGAATACAACCAAAAAGGAGCATCTAACTGTTGACATTTTAATTGGAGCGTGGAAGTCACGCAGCTATGAATCTAAAATTTTAGCTTACACCTGTATTTAGTTTCTCCGCTATAATGGCGTGACCGCATGCCTGCCCTTCCGCTCCCATTACCCCTTCAAATTATGAGATATACTGTCTTTATCATTTGAGAGTCAAAATTTAGGGCGTGTTTGGGTATTTTTTTTAGGCAAATAGAAAATGCTCTTTTAGATGTATGGATAGTGTCTCCAGTCAAGGCTGGCCTTGATCACCTGCTTGAGGCCCACGTTAGTGAAGGCCCAAAGAAATTTTAAAACTAATATATTGAAGTTGCTCTAACTACAAGCAACATGAGCTACTACTTAGTCGCGTATGTGAGCACTTCGTATAAAGTTGGCTTAAGGTTCCAAGGTCTTTAAGGTCGGCTCTTTCTAGATATTTAACCACTCACTATTCAATACCCTTCAATATGAGTTCTATTACGAGCTTATTTACTTAAGAGCAAATTATATAGATCCTCAATCTTATGGCACGTAGTCCACATAGCACGGTCTATGCCATGTTTGTTTTGTCTCAAATAGTGTCTAAAAAACTAATTATACGATATTATATGAATATGTTATTACATTGTTCAAATATACACATAGCGGTGGCAAAAAAGCTCGGAGGCTCGGACGGCTCGGACTCGGCTCGAAAAAAGCCCGAATCGGGCCCGGCTCGGTGGAACCGAGCCCAGGCTTTATTTTTAGCTGCCTGCAAAGGTAGCTAAGAAAAGAAAAAAAAATCAAAAAAATCGAGCCGGCTCGACTCATTGACACCGCTATATACACATTAAGCCTATGATAAGTGTATTTTGTACACTTATTTTAGGTCATTAAATTCAAGTATTTGTTAGTGATTTGGATGAGTTATAACTTAGTTTTGTGTTAATCATGTTTGTTAAATTGAACTTAATGCAAATTGGTGGATTTGGAAGAAATGAACGAAAAACGTGCGAAAACGAAGAAAATCCAAAGTTTGGGGACCAAAATGTAAATATTCAATAGTTGTTTCGGAGAACAAAATGATGATTGAAGATCATATGTGATCAATTGCATGTATGCAGTTGAAAGTCAAATGAATGAAATATAGTGGAAGTATTTTCAAAAATTAATTTCCAGCCGAAAAAATTATGTTCCAGATTTTTAGCCTCAACTTGAGACCTATATTTCTAATAGCAAACGTTTGAATTAGAAAAATTGTACATCTATAAGAATTGTAGTTCTTTGAATTAACTTTTCAACTCATTTTGAATCACCTCAATCGGATATCTGTACTGAGAGCTGCTCAGGGACGAACAGAAGCGACTTGCGCGCGCAACACCTTATCTTCCCCAACTCGAAAATCATTTAGCACTACTGGAGCGAGCAAAAATTTGTTCGTGCAAAAACCGCAAAGATACGAGATCATTGACAAATAATACATGATGAGTACGTGTATCGTCTTACGGGGAATAAATTTCAATCAAGCGTATTAGTTTTTATTCGGATTCAAAGTAAGTAAACAAAATATAATTGTGGTTGATAATTATTCTAAACTATTCTATGAAATCTTGTAAATTTCGAGTTTTGTATTTATGGAATGAGTGTATTGGATTACGAATCCACCAATTATTATTTATTTCAATTCTCAATTACGTAGCTAGTATCATTCATGCATTTTTGACAATCGATAATTTTATTGTAATTAATTTTCTTTTCCAAAATAAATCAAGTCACGACCCGAATCTATTCCTAGTTCGAATTCAAATGAATAGAATGCATTCAATTTCACAATTATCTCTAAAATTGCACACACGATAAACATTATTCCTAATATCTATTGCACGAATGTTAATTAAGCAGTGTTTTAGTAGACTTATTGTGAGTCTCCCAACACAACAACAAGCAATTATATATTTAATTGGTGACCAAACAATGAAATAACAAAATTACGCATGCAAGATTAATCAAGAAGAACAATAATTTAACTAATTACTTGTTTTAAATTAAAAAATAAATAATAAAAATGTTTCATTTTCATTCAATACATGAAAATAATTAGCCTATCATATTGTTATGTAAATTACACAAAAAGATTTGGAAAAACATCACCCGAAATGAAAAATAATGAATGGAAAGTGAAAAATCAATCTCTTCTTCGTTAATTTTCAACTCGGACTTTGAATTTTCAATCTCTTGTATTAATTACTTTTGAATCTTGTGCTAGCCTCCTTCTTATGATAAAAATAGGATTTGATATCTTCTTTTCGTTCGAGCCGCCCCATGTAGGTTAAATAGTACGTTGAATTTGGTTTCCATAAGAATTTGGATCAAAATTCCAAGTTCGGCCGTTGAGGCCCAGAAATTGCCCCCGCGAGCACACTGGTATAACTACCGCGTGCTCGCCATAGAGCCAATAACTCTCGGGTTAGGGAAAATAAGGTGTCGTGCGCGCAGGTCACTTCCGTTCGTCCCCGAGTAACTCTCAGTATTTTGGCCATAATTTTCTTCACAGATATCCGATTGAGGTGATTCAAAATGCATTAGAAAGGTAATTAAAAGGAATATAGTTCTTATCAAAATACAATTTTTCCAATTCAAACGTTTTCTATTCGAAAATGGGTCTCAAGTTCATGCTAAAAATTTGGAGCATAACTTTTTCGACTAGAAATTGATTTGTGAAAATGCTTTCACTATATTTCACTCATTTGACCTCCAACTGTATCCAATTGATTTTATATGATCTTCAATCATCTTTTTGTGCTCCGAATCAACTATTTAATGTTTACACTTTAGTCTCAAAACTTTGAATTTTCTTCATTTTTTCATTTTTTCGTTCATTTTTTCCAAATCCACCAATTTTTATTAAGTTCAACATAACAAACATAATTAATACGAAATTAAGTCATAACTCATATAAATTACTAACAAATACTCTAGTATAATGACCTGGATAAGTGTACAAAATACACTTATCAGCCTAACTCGATCATTTAATAAAAGTAAAAGAGCAATACTATTTAGAATGAATGATATCAAGTTTGAGCTCACGTGGTATGCAAGTTTCGTTAGTTGATAATTGATATATCCCTACTAATATAAAGAGCCAATCCGCTGAGCACTATTCATTTGTGAAGCATTTTCCATTCCCAATTTATCCCCCACCAATTAATTTTTTTTCCCATTTTTTTTCCCATTATTTATTGTTCATTTGCGAAACATTTTTCATCCTCATTTTATCAAAACAAAAGGTTATACAAATGGGTAATATAGACTTCTTTTTTACCCACAATTGTTGACTAAAACAGAAAAGAAGAAAAAAAAAATTAAATATCAAAATCGTTGACTGAAGAATGTTGGAAAAAAAATTGTCATCAGCTCCGCACCGGACACCACGGAGCATTTGCTCCGTGGTGTACGTCGTGCAGAGCCATGCTCCGCACACAGTGCTAAGCATCAACTTCACATTGTGCGAAGTTAATGTTTTTTTTTACAGTGCAAACAGTAATTAATATACGATAAATTTCTATAAATAATATTAACCAAATTTACGAGCTTATTTTTAAATTTAGGTGATATCATTTGCTTACATTTTATACAAACTAAATACAATTTCACATATTAATGATTTAATTCAAAAACATTAATAA